GTAGGGAAAAGAGGTACAGAAGATTTAATTTCAGCTAATCATAACATGAAAAGAAATTATACACGAGTCATGACCAATATTTTGCAGAATCAATATGAAAGGCTTAAGTTTGTACCCAAATGTTCCTTTGACAGTTTTGCAAAGGAAAGGAACCGAAGGTGCAGAAGTCCATGTAGCTAATCCAAAATCACATAGCTGCAATTTAACAAAAACAATCAGAATGACTTCAACAGGGTGCGTCCAAGAGCGTTTCCACATTACTTAACCACAAGTCAACAACAGATTCACAAAAAAAAATCTCACCTTGGGAGTCTTCCTTGAAGAAAGCAGAATGTTTGAGGGCTTAATGTCTCTGTGCACAACACATCTTTCAGTTCCACTATGCAGATAAGCCAAAGCTTCAGCAATCCCAATTGCCACTTTGTACCTCACAGACCAAGGAAGTGTTGAACTAACCTTCTTCCTTCCTGCAAAACAGGCATGCTACAATCAGCGAAATTCACCAATTCCCGACCTCAGAAAATAGGAGCCAGAAAAAACCAGAGAAATGAATAAATACCATGCAAGTGGCGCTCCAAACTGCCCCCAGAGACATACTTGTACACCAAAAACAAACCCTCCTCAGGATCAATACAAAACCCCAAAAGGGGAACAACATTTGAACTATGGAGAGAACTAGCAATCATCAATTCTCTACAAAAGGCCTTGGCAGATTCCTTGTCTTCCTTGTCCAACCGTTTAATTGCCACAGCAGTCCTTAAAAGCCCAACTCTCCCCCTAAAAACACAGCTCAACGCCCCTCTCCCCAACACCCTCCCTACACATACCATAACAAATAAACAAATCATGATCTAACACAAACCGATCAACTTTTATCAAAAACGAAAAACACAACACTCAAAACATAAAAAACACAGGTTAATGATGTTGTTAGTCCCTGAAAAGTTATTCAATTTTAGTTTTAATCTCCAACTTTTAAAAGTCATAGTTTTCGTCTATATATTTTTAAAAATACTCAAACTTTAGTCTAGCCAACACTTTTTCCCCCAACATAGGAATAATTATTACATGGTCCAAATTTATCATGAATTCCAGACAATTTTTTTGTAACACAACTGAGTTTTATACTTTTATTAACTCTTTCTCATTAAATAAAAATAAAAAAAATAAAAAAAAAAAGTTGCGTCATGGTAAAGATTAACTGAGATCATGGATATGCATATGTGGTAGTCATGGACCATGGACTAAAATTCAGGAAATTTTCATGTAATCAAAATACCATCAATCATAAAAAATAAAAAATAAATAAAAAACTTACCTTTGGAGAAATTCCTAGTAGCAGACATGATTTCACCAAAGCTGAACCTGATCAAGGAGTGAGCCACAGGGGAAATGCTCTTCTCCAAGGACTCCATCCTCCTCCACTTGATTTCCCTGGCGCGAGATTCGCTCACCCCATTGTCCAAATTCACCATCAAAACCGTTGCAGCGGAAGACGAACTCATGTTGAGTGACTCCAACTCAACCTGAGAGCAGAAACTAAACCTAAAAGAGGAGTGCACCGATTGAGGGTCAGCATTGGTCAATTCCGCCCCACACCCACCAGACTCTGCGAGCAACCACGCCTTGTTGTGCTCCAAACTGGCCTTCTTGCCGTCGCTCGGAGTCCCCTCGGAGCTTCTCCGGCGCCGGGAAGGGGTGGCGACGCAGGCGAGGCCGAATTCCCAGATCATTTTTCTGAGAAAGGTTTGGAATTTGAGCTTGTTGTAGTTACAGTAGTGATCTACAACTAATGGGGTTGGAGCTGAGGCATTGGAAAGGTCCCTGGAATCAGTGCAGGGTCCTTGGGAGAAGCCCATTGTGAAAGTAGATCAGCACAGAAACCCAGAAAAGCAAAATGGGGCAGAGAGAAAAAGAGAGAGTAAAAAAATGTTAAGGGTGCTTTGCTTGTGGGGTGGGACTTGGGAGAGAATTTTGAAAAGATGGAGAGATGGAAAGGAGGCATGGCATGGCTGTGACCTCTGTGTATAAATAAATAATTGAATTCAATTTTGATTTAAAGAGCAGTGTAGTGTAGAGAGTCGGAGAAGGTAAAAAACATTCGACAATATTCTCTTACTGTAATCAATAATCTTCTTGTTGAATTAACCAAAATGTAATTAATATTTTAAGTTTTATAACAAATTATTATGCTTTTGTAAAGATTTTTATCTATATCTTGTATAGTATATTAAATATACTAGTTCCTATCAGTAAAAGATATTTAAAATTTTTAAATTCACATATCAGCAAATTTTAGTTAATGCTCTTATTCAACAATATTCTTTAAACAATAAATGAGGATACTAATAAATGTGATTAAAAATATTTTAATAAATATAATATATATTTTATATAAAATTATATAAATTAAAGGTATTTAATTATTTTTCTTAATTTATGTGAATTTTTTTTTATTTTTTTATTTTTTATATTTAGGTTCAAAGGGAATGTCTCATATAAGATAAAATAAAATTAGGATATCTTTCCTCAAAGTATTTTTTTATGTTTTCACTTTACAACAACTATGCAAGGAAATAATAGAAAAAAAATTTGATATTTCAAAATATAATTAAGATATTTTTCTTTTCTAAAGTGTCAAATAAAATAGGTAGAAAAAGTATAATAAATAAAAATAAAAATATTTAATATTTGTAATATTCATAATATATATATATATATATATATATATATATGAAGAAAAATCATCATCAGTTTAATTCTTAAATTCACATGTATTAGAAAATATATGTCGACAGAAATTCAACTCTTTAAATGAATTTTCAAATAAATTACTATATAAATTTTGGCCGGTGATATCATAGACACCAAATATTTAAATTAATATTTTAATTTAATAAATGAGAAGAAGAAGTGTAAGAAAAATTATAATTATTAGGGTATGGGATTGAGTTGGTTAGGAAAGGGATTCTTGTGGTATAAAGGATTGAAGAAGACGGGGAACCCTCAGGACAACATCCTTTAGTTGTTAGATGAGCTCGGGACCAGGTTCTAATGAAGTTAGAATAATCCTTTCGCATGATGTTTGTTTTGTTTAACTTATTTAAGAATAATACTAATGCTTTATTTTTTAAGAAAAATAATTATTTTAATTTATACTAAACTAAACTAAACATATAAAGCGTTTTGGTTCAATTTATTTAAAATAAATTATTTCTGTTGGCGAATTTTCTCTCATGAAACAAATATTTTTGTTATAAATATGTAAATAAATCTAATTTAGAATTTTCAATGTAACGACCCGACTGGTCACTACGCCCGGCATAGCACACTAGAAACACCAGACAGATAGAACAAGTATATGAATATAGGATCTAGAATATATGGATATACAAGGTTCCAGTCTGACTAGAGTTAAAGTGTACTAAAGAAAAATACAACCAAGTGCTACTATCCCACGTAGCCACAAGCAAAACAACATCGCCAAGCAAACAGCTGCAAGGTCCACCAACCTCACCACAAGACGCACATCTATTCCTGCCCTGCTCCCATACATAGTATGATCATCGCAGTCCAAAAACATGGAAAACAACAAAAGGGTAAGCTAGTGAAATTAAAATTCAGCATACAATTATATAAATGTCAATATAAATAACAACAGATACAGTTATCAGCACACTTGTACAGCTTATACCACTCAATAATATCAGCACCGCAATACGGCAATATCAGCACTGCTTAGCAGCAACAACAGCACCACTCTAGTGGCTATAACGGCACCGCAAAGCGGCAACAACAGCACCGCCTTAGCGGTTAGAATCAGCACCACATGTGTGGCTAACAACAGCACCGACTTAGCGGCTATAATATCACCCAACCCAGCATATCTCAGCACAGTACAGCACAGCACAGCACAGCAATTCAACAAAATTATTACTTTCTACAATTCAGCCCAACGGTCTATAATTCCGCTATACTATATAATTTCTCTTATTAATCCATTGATTCCAGCTCAACAATACACCTCTAATACAACTAACATATTTATCTCAGCTTAATCCCCTAATCATCACAACATATTCATCAAATTCGCTTGGTTCAGCATATAACATCATTGATTAACAATTTCGGCACAACTCAACAGTCAACATCCTATAGATCATCATCTCCTTGCGCGCCCGGCGCACTCGAGGTTGCGCCCAGCGCGACTCAACCCGAGAGCACCAAGGCTCTCCCGCGCCTGGCGCAATTCCAAATTGCGCCTAGCGCCTGTCTGGCAGAGACTCAAGGAGTCTCGTGCGCCCAGCGGAGCCTAACCCGCGCCCAGCGTGGGGAAGGCAGAGACCTACCAGGGTCTCGCGCCCAGCGCAATTCACAATTGCGCCCGGCGTGCCCTTGGCAGAGACTCCCAAGGAGCCTCCGCGCCCAGCGAGTCCAAAAGTGCGCCTAGCGCAGTCCAAGTATCCCAAAAACATGTTACTCTTGATATCGCGCCCAGCGCAGCTCGAGTCACGCCCGGCGCGGGCCAACCAGAGACCCCCATTTGCAAGCTCGCCCAGCGCACACAGCCTTGCGCCCGGCGGGCTTGCCTAAACAGAGTCTCCTGGTGGTCGCGCGCCCGGCGCGAAGAACAGCGCTCAGCGCGAACTCATCAGTAACTTCCCCAAGTTCGAAAAATTGCTCAAAACCTGCAAATCTTAACAGCAAACAAGCATGCAATCCAGCCAAAATGTCACATTCTCATCAAACATCAAGAAAAATACCTCATTTTCCACATGCAACCACAATCCAAGAATTTCCTCAAAATTTCTCAAAAATCCCGAAAACCCCAAAATCTTAACTTTAGAAGTTCTCAACCAAAATCATCAGTTCTCAGCCGGTTAAATGAGTCCCCAGACCCCCTTTTAACCAAACCACAGCATAAAACTAACTTCCCTTACCTTGAATCCAGAAATTTGAGCTCCGGGCACTTGAATGAAGAAGGAGAACGAAAGGGAGTTTGAACAAAGAGGAAGAACAAGCTTGGGGACTCAGCTCTCGGACAAGGAATCAGTTCTCCTACCGCTTGCACCTAGAGTCACCAAGATTCACCACAGGGAATTTTGAGAGAAAAGAAATGAGTAAGGGTTGAGGAGAAGAAAAATAAGTGAAGGAGGAGGTGAGTGGGAGAGAGAGAACGGGGTCTCACATTCAACATGCTATAATTATTAGAATATATTGAATTACCTTATTTCATATTTTAGGTTAATTAGAACTAGCTTGTATATAAAAATTAGATTGTGTATATTTCAAATCATTGAATAGTATTCAGATTTTTTTTTTCATATTTCAAATATTTTTCAAAAAAAAGTTATTACTTTAAAATAATAAAATTATTATTGAACGAATCGTTTATTATGATATTTTTAAAATATTTTCATTGATGAATAAAAATTATATAAACATTTATCCATATATTTAGTAAGTTTTCATTTTTATTTGTTAATTTCACTTAATAATAATATTTGTTTTTTACACCTATAATAATATTATTTGTGAAAAACATATTATTAACCTTTCTCCAATTCATATATGAGAAAAAGTTAACAATATATTGTTGTATTATTTTATAATATTTTTATATTAAATAAATTTATGTGATATACATATTAAAATATAAATATCATTTTCTCATCAAACATGTATGCATAAAACTTACTTGAAATTAATGTAACGTGTTACTTAAAATGATTCTATATGTATTGAATTATTTCCTTTGTTTAATTGGTGAAAAATTAAAAGAGATAACTTGTGAAAATTCGGCTTTTTGATCAAAGTAGGATCGTTGATCAAGTTATTTACGTAAATGGGGCTGTTTTGAATTTATTTACGCCTTTGGGGCTGTTTACAACGGTGTCGCTATGACCCATAGCAACACCCATGCCACATGACTTTTTTTTTTTGGCGTAGGGATGGCTGGAATGAGCCACAACAGTGTCGCTATGGGCTGGACCAACACAGTTTGTGAGCCAACAAAGATGGTGTAGCCCATAGCGACACCATTTAAGAAAAAAAATGAAAAAAACTAAAATAATTTAAATGTAACCTTAAAATAATCAACTGAGTATACTTATTATATATTTATAAAAATAAAAAATATTTATTTAAAAACGTAATTTTAAAAAATAGATTTAATTATTTATGTAAGTGGTGCTGTGGACACAGAGTCGCTATGGCCCACAGCGCCAGTAATTAATTTTTATTTTTTATTTTAGTTATTAACTTATTTTGTTTGGAAATTTGTTTAATTTATATTTAGCACTTAAATATTAATTTGTAATTATAAAGTTTATTTTTCTGTAATTTATATTGTTTTTGTATATATATTTTTGTCCTTTAAATAATTTAAAATAGGCGCTGTAGCCTACAGCGACTCTTAGTGTCGCTGTGGCCCACAGCGCCACTAATTA